GGGGAATGAGGGGGAGGGAAAGGCAGCGATCGCCTGGAAAGGGAGGTTAAACGACCGAGGGGGCGGTTAATCGGGTGGTTGGCGAATAACGAGCGAAGGGTGGGAGTCGACCCGAATGGGGAGTAACCACGGGCGGCGGTGGCGGAGGCGGCGGCTGCCCCGAACGGGCGGGAGGTAACTAGCGTCCCGCTCGCCGATCAATTCAGCTGGGGTCGTGGGCGGGGGGCGTGCACGTGGAACAGACAGCAAAATGCTGGGTTTACGATCGCAAGTCCAACATTCGTTTAAATCGGCTCTCTCAGGAAAACGTTATAACTAGATAACTGATATACTATTTCCTGGGCGTCGTGTCTTCGGCATATCTGCTGAGACCATCATAATATTATTGGTTTTCTTGGCCGAATTTGGCTCTCTTTAACCTGAAACCGCTCTGCGGCTGCCGTTAAGGTTCTGGGCGAGCACTTAAATCTACAGCCTGCACTAAGACGAACTCTTGATCGAACCTACCGGGACACATGCGATTTGGCTCCAAAAATTTTGTACGCGCTCAGACACAAAAAAATGGTTAATAATGTGTTCTAAATGAAGCAGTCGCTAGGCGTATCTAACACTTTTCACAGTTGCACGCCAGGCGATGATGCGTTTTCACATGCAAGATGTTTTCGTGGAGACAGAAACGGCTTGACAGAATTAGGCGGGAGAAATAGAAGAAGGCGCAGTATGTTAGTGCTTCCCACCCCAGCTCTTGACTAATGAAAGACTCCCCCTCGTACGTTAGCGAAGAATGTGGCTCTATAATATACTCTCTCCCTGGTTCGTATCTCACGCAGATGGTTATCCTTGCACACTGGTGTACATAATATTCAAGGCGTGCCTATCGCTGACTCCAGACATACAGAAGACATAAAGATTTGCTTCAAGGATATTAAGTTTTGCTGCTGTTTTGTTGATGGTTCAACTAACGATTGATGTCTTATGACGACATTAATAAAAAGGTGTAACAGATACGCGCAATTCTGTTTAAGTAAGAGGAATCACTTCTAAGAAATCGACACAAAAACTACCTTCACCTCTTGCACTCTTCAAAATAGTAAAACACACGTAATGGTACTTGCAGAACTACGAAGGTATTCTCACGTAATGGAAAACTACTACACAGTTTTTGCGGAACTTGCTTCGCCGAAAAAATGAAGAGGCGGCCATCATGGAAATACACCTCCATTACAAGCCGACGATGTTCGAGCAACGCACGCCAACATTTTCAACACGGGACCTCGTGCCGAGCATCACTTACTTGCACACACTTCGAAAATATTTTTACATAGAAACGTCTCTTTTCATTGAAAGTAGAGGAATTCATGATTATAAGGCGAAAAATTTATATTACTTTGACTTACGTAATACAGTCAGGTATTAAGTTACAACGGCTTTATACTAAAAAAAGTAGTGGCGTAAAAGAAGCAAGAAAAACAGACAAAGAAATTAATCTTAACAGATTGATTTTTTCTTTCGTATCAAGAAATATCATAAAAATTATGTCCCGAGACCTTTACATCAACTGGACGGTAAGTAATAATATTTTAGAGTTTTTTCCATTACTTCAGAGTAAAGTAGTTGATACAACAGAGGAGGGTAATACTTTAAGTTCTACAATACTAAGTAAAAACCTAGTTTGTTAGTCTAAAAGACATTCAGATGTACTCCTTGCTTCCTTTTGAAGATTTATTACTGATACTACCCATTATACCGAGAAACCCTCAGTTTACTTTAACTCATTTCCCAAGGAGCAAAATGAGTAAGTCTACCGTGAACAGTCTTGCTATCCGAAATTTTGGGCGAAATCGAGAAAAGTTTTTGTGAAGGAATGGGAGTAGACCTCAAAATCAAGCAAAGAAATGTAATTTGTTGGAATTTAAACGCATATACAACTCTTTTCGTGTAAACAGCGGTATCACATTGCATTTTTCTACGAAACGTGACACGTCTGACACCATTAAACGTCCGTCACTCGTCCCTGACGTCTCAAATTATTTGGAGTCGAGTGAGCAATATCCTATCCAGCCGCACCTAACCTAACAACCCAACCCAATTTCGGGTTCTGTGAAGACGCGATGACACACTTCATTACGCGTATCGAATGATCAAATGATCTGACGGCTATCCGAGCTCTTCGCGATCCAGCCACACCTAACCTATCCAACTCAACCCAATTTAGGGGTTCGGTGAAGGTTGGGTTGACACGCTTCCTATCGCGAATCGACGCCCCACCGTTAAAACGCCGTTATTCGCACCTGACGTCTCTATTGATTTGATGCCGAGCTATTCCGGATCCAGCCACACCTAACAACCCAACCCAATTTCGGGTTCTGTGCAGACGCGATGACACACTTCATTTCGCGTCTCGAATGATCAAATGATCTGGCGCCGAGCTATTCGCGATCCAGCCACATCTAACCTATCCAACCCAACCCAATTTAGGGGTTCGGTGAAGGTTGGGTTGACACGCTTCCTTTCGCGAATCGAGGCATCGATTTCATCATATCATCGGTTGATTTGGCGCCGAGCTATTCCGGATCCAGTCACACCTAACCTACCCACACAACCCAGTTTCGGGTTCTGCGAAGGCCGCGATGACCCGCTTCATTTCGCGAATCGACGCGGTCCGAAACGATTCTTCGCGTCCGGGCCGGGCCGGGGCGGGCCGCGTCGGCGCGCGGTGCGTAACGCACGCCTCCTGGAAATGCGGCGCCCGCAGCCGGGGATGGCCTGTCGGGGCTGCCCCGGCGGAGGCGGCGTTCGCGCAACCACCGGCCCACACGCGGCGCTCCCTGGAACCGAGCCCGGAACCCGCACGAGACGAGACTCGCCGCTCCCGCGAAAGTGGCGGCACAGCATTCGCTTTCCGAGACCCCTGCCTGACGGCACCGCTCCATCATAGGGGGCCCCCGGAAGCATTGGCGGCTTGTCTTTCAATGGAGCTTCTGGCGGCTTGTCTTTAAATGGAGCTTCTGGAGGCTTGTCTTAAGGCGGCTTCACACATTCGGTCCGGGAGACTTACGTGGCATCAACTGATTACACTGCAGTGCCTCGGACCAGGAGGTTCTCTCTGGTGTTCGAGTCTTGACGGTGGCAGGACTTTCGACACTACGTCGAGTTCTGTCGCCGTCTGGAGGAGAATTCTAGTTGCCAGCTGCTTCATCGGTAATTTTTCGTGGTAGCTCCGATCAACGCAACGCGAATGCATGAGTAGTACTCTAACAAACGGGCCATGGACCGCGCGCGATCTTTCGCTCCCATTCCTTGTCCTGTCCCCACCCCAAGTATTTTCAGAAATTCCTACAGTAGCAATATTTTATCACATCATAGTCATCAGAGGGAGAGCGGTTAAAGGGGTCTCCAATCTCAGAAGCCGAAGACACAAATTCACAATTCTAGTTCGACTCACGAAAATATAATATATTTTACAAGTTTATTTAATTTCATCGTGAACATCATACCGAACGGTAGCAGTTGAAAAACATCGGGTGTCGTCGCCCGCGTGACCATGGGGCCTTGAAACTGGCGGTGGCAACATGCTTACGTACCACTGAATGTAAGGCAGGAATAGGGCTACGTGACATTTGTGAGATATTTTAGAACCGGATATGGAGTACTATTACCGATTATCTATAATTGGTTCACTTACAAATAATATACTATAGTCCCTTAAAAATCTATTACTTCGACTCGCAGGATTTGATAAGTAAATAAGAAATGTTTGGTTACATGATGTGAATCTGCTGGCTGAACGATGTGATGCATTGGCTGAATGATTTGTTGAGGCGAAAAGTCAAGGAAGACCCTTCATAAAAGCTTTTCATTCGCAACTTACTGCAAATTGAAAGCTTACGTCTTCCCCGCCCACGTATGTCCTCGTTTGTTTGTTCTTTGTTGTTGTTGTTTTCGAAACTCTCTCTTACAGGTGATTCGCTACCGAGCCAGATCTGTCAAGTTTTATGGATGAGCGATTCTGACGCTCACGAAACATCACACCCCGCAAGCTACCTTTTACAACAACAACAACAACAACAACAACAACAACAAAAAAATGAAATTATTAATTAGATCGCTGATGAGCTAGATACCTTTTTATTATGATAAATAAAAAAAAAATAAAAAAATTTTAGCTCTGAGGATGATCGCTATGCGATCTAAACTGTCATAAGCTGAATAAAAAGTAGTGATACCAGACATCGTCCTTATTTACTTATAAAAAACGTGAAACTTTCCCTTTCGATAAGACACGCAAACGAAAAAATATCCTTTAACTTTTGAAGCAAAAATTTAGAGAACATCTTGGCAAGACGAGACAGGTTATGCTGGCGCACGGGATGCCGTTAGCTTTCCAAGGACTTCGCTTTGCAGCCAATTTTTTTTCTTCCGTTCCGTCCACGTCGATGCTACATTTAGCACGCACTTGACACGGAACCGGTCGCACCGGGTGATGAAAGCGGGGCACTTCTGCACGATACGCGATGAAGCTGAATAGTCCCAGCGTGAAGTCCACTCCTGACACTGATGCCTCTAATAGAAGAGCATTCGTAGTTGACCTCGGACGCTGTCAGAAGAGACGTCATGATTGCAAATCAACAAGTTTAAACGCATGATATATTCCGTTGTGATACATTTCACGAGGTTTTAAGTGCTGTCAAAATAAAGAAGCATCAAAAGCAGACCGAGAGTCAGCCCATGACCGCAGTCACCTCCTATCGAGCATGCAAAACACGAATGAATCTATTCAAAGAAAAGCACGCGAGAGCCCATATGAAGGTGTCAGCGCAATAGTGGCCTATCCCCAGATCCTGTGTTTGGAGAAAATGGCTGATGACGTTATTGGCATAATTAAACACTCATTTGTAAGTGTTTTCATATTATGATATTATGTTAGAATGACCACTGACTAACCATTTGTGGTGGATTACATCTTGTGTAAAACAACATCGCCTATGCTTAGGCCACTATTGCACAAAGAAATGTAATCGTAAGCTGAATGCAATAGTTCTTCTTGTAATTATAACTTGAAAACTATCGACGCGAACATGCTGAAACTGTTACACGTTGAAGTTAGGGAGATTAAAGATGTGATTAACACAGAGAACCGCAATTTTCCTAAAAATGTGGGAAACCACTATTGGCGCTGTCACCCTCATATAAACCGTCGAGTTCTTCAATCGATTCGCGCGCTTGGCAAATCATTGCATGTCCTAGCACAGATGCTTCCGCGCTGACGGTGTAACGCAAGGACTCACCTAAAGAATCGCCCCGCAGCGTCGCGTCGGCAAGGCGTTGACGCGGTCACGAGCTGGGCTGCAACTTGGGCACGTTGCTGAGGCGCTGTGAAGATATTGACTGTGGCAGTGAGTTGGCGCGTGTAGCGGGAGCGGGCAGGTTTTCGCGAGATTGCGACCAGTCTGGGCCTAGGGAGGTGGAGTGAGAGAGGTGGAAGGGCGAGCGGGAGCGTCGAGATGTGAACGGTGTGAAGCTTGGGGGGGGCGGAGAAGATGGCAGTGCGGAGCGTGCGGGGTGAAGGTCGGGGTGAGTGGGTTGTGTTTGAGATGAGCACGTATAAGGAGGTAGATTTGGTGGGTGGGGAAGGCCGCGTTATAGGTGGGGCGTGCGGGTGTGGTAGGCTGGAGGGGTTGCGCTGGCGCGGCGGTGTGGTGGGGATGGCGAGATGGCGGCGGGCGTATAGGGTGTGTGGATGTGAGACGTTGCTGGTGTGGTGAAGGTGGGTCCGTGGCGGTGTTGAGGTGGGCGTAAGCGGGTTGTGGTGAGGTAGGCATGGCGGAGGTTGGTGAGTGGCGTAGCCAGAGTATGGCGAGGTGACCGTTGTAGGGTGTGGGTGAGGTGGTTTAGCGGGTGTGGTTAAGGTGGGCCGGTGGGCGGGGGTGAGGTAGGCGTAGCGGGTTGTGGTGAGGTAGGCATGGCGGGGGTGGTGAGCTGGGAATGGCGGGGTGTGTAAGGTGGGCGTGGCGGGTGAGGTAGGCATGACGGGGTGGTTGGTTGAGGTAGCATGGCGGGATGTGATGAGCTGGGAATGCGCGGGGTGTGGTGAGGTGGGGCGTAGCAGAGTATGGCGAGGTGACCCGTTTTGAGGTGTGTTGGCGAGTGGCGTTTAGGCGGGTTTGTGCGTAAGGTGCGGCGTGGCGGGGTGAGGTAGGACGTATGCGGGTGTGGTTGAGGTAGGCATGGCGGGGTTGTGGTGAGGCTGGGAATGGCGGTGGATGTGGTAAGGTTGGGCGTGGCGGGTGAGGTAGGCATTGACGGGTGTGCGTGAGTAGGCATGGCGGGGTGTGATGAGACTGGGAATAGGCGGGGTGTGGTGACGGTGGGCGTAGCAGAGTTGGCGAGGTGGACCGTTTGTAGCGGTGTGGGTTGAGGTGGGTTAGCGGGGTGTGGTTAAGGTGTGGTGGCGGGGTGAGTAGGCGCTAGCGGTGTGGTGAGGTAGGCATGGCGCGTGTGGTGAGCTGGGGTAATGGCGGGGTGGGTAAGATGGGCGCGTGGCGGCGGTGAGCGGTAGGGCATGACGGGGTGTGGTGAGGTAGGGCATGGCGGGGGTGTGGATGAGCTGGGAATGGCGGGGTGTTGGTGAGGTGGGGCGTAGCAGAGTATGGCGAGAAGGGCTGACCGTTGTAGAGGTGTGGGCGAGGTGGGTTTAGGGGGTGTGTAAGGTGGGCGTGGCGGGGTGAGGTGGCATGCGCGGGTGTGGTTGCAGGTAGGCATGGTGGCGGGGTGTGGTTGAGCTGGGCGTGGCGGGGTGTGATGAGCTGAGGTAGGCACGTGACGAGGGTGTGTGAGGTGGGCATGGCAGGATGAGATGAGGTGCGTCGTGCGCCATGGAAGGTGAAGGGCGGGTTGAGGCGGTGTGGGGGCGGGGCGACGAGGTGCTGAGGGGCGGAGCTGGACCAAGAGACTCGCCGTTAGGAGGGGCCGCGGCGGTCTGCAGAGAGAGGGAGCGGGGTGCAGCGGGGGTGCGGGGAGGGGCTCTGGGCCGCGTCCGGATGCGAAGGACACCCGGGTAGCGGGACCCGGAGACAGTGACGAGAGGGCGCCTCCTTTCCCGCTGTTCGCCATGCAAGGAGGGAAACAAGAGACTCGCGCAGGTCAGAGTCAAATGAGAACGAATTGAAACTTATGAGAGAGGAACTTTTTTTTTGACGTAAATGAAAGGAAAAAAGGAAAGGAAACAACAAAAGAAGCAACGTCGTATACCGCCAAAAGAATGACACGGAAGCAGCAGAAAATACGTTAAAATGAAAAGGAATAAAGCCGGTATTAAAATTGGAAAAATTAATATTTCCATCCACGTCGCACGAATGCGAAATGGGACGATGAAAGCTAAAAACTATCCGGAGTGGCTGTGAAGCAACAGGAAAAGAAGGGAAGAAAAATATCTAATGGAACTGAAGGGGAGTGTCACAAACAAGGTGCGCACGAACACACTTAAACAATGGCATATGCTAAGGTTGTTGCACACACAACACCGCGCATTTCCCTCGAGTCGCGCCCGCACACTTAGCTTTCGAAAGGTCCAAGAGTGTTCTTGGAGAGTAAGGTACACTGTAAAACCGCTAGCTAATGGTTTATGGTCGTCAACAGTATAGCGCTATTCCGTTCCTCGTTTTCCTTCTCGAGATATTATTTGCTTGCCACGAAACTAACGAGCATGTTTCATTTCAAACGGTCTTCCTTCATAAATCACTCCAAGCTGGCTGTATTGTAGGCGCTTGGGGCTCAAGCTTAATTTTAGAACCGCGAAGCGTAGGCCTGGAAAACGACAACAGGGTCAAATGAAATCTTCCACTGGGGGGAACTGATCAAATCATTATTATCGCCGTCCCAAGCAGTATGTTACGTCACGAGGAAAACTTCAGCAGAGCGTACACGCCATTTTTACAAGAGCAATTCGCATTCTTATGGGCAAGATAGAGCCAATAAAGGTCTTTTTTTCTAGTTATGCGTATCGCTCGTACGGTCCTCGTCGGGGCAGGCTGGGACTCGAGGGGGGAAAAAGCAAACACACTGACTGGGTTGAGCGCTCGGAAGACAGTTAATTGGTGGGGCAGCGAGCATTTAAAGAGAAGACAATAAGGGCCAATTGGCTTTTTGTTCGGCCGCTGTCGAAGGCTTCGTTAGAAGTTAATTGGAAGCGCTCCATCCTCTCCGCCCAGATGATGGGTAGGAGGAGGTTTGTCCATGAAAGCTTGCGCTTCCTCAGTGCTCATGATCTACGGGTCATTGCCCACCCGATATAACAACGGAGTGAACGAAGCCCGAAAGGTCAAATTGGCTCTGCTCCGGTTTCAGCCCACAATGGTGGGATAATTAAAGGAAATGAATAGAAGCATTGTCATTTGTATTCTGGCTATTGTCGTAACTCGACATGGGATGTTTAAGAACGCGCCTATTTTAATTTAATGAGACTAATGCGTATAGTTAACGAATACGAATTTAGAAAAATTAAATACTTTGGCAGTTATTAATTTTATTTAGCTTATTTCGTCCAATTTAATGGAACATGGAATATTTATTTTTGTAAACACTTTTGGTCTCATATATTTTTATCTTCAGTTAACCTTAGTAAAAATTATACGTTCCACTCATTTTAAGATTTACTAATCACAATAGCTGTCTGGTTAGTACAAACATTTTTTCTCCTGACTGATAACGTCATTTGGGCTGGAATGTGACATAACGTTCGGGGAGCCCCGAAACTGGCTTTGCTCGCACTCATTTGCACAAATAAAAATCATCGAGTGATGGATCTTGGGGCGAACGCAGAGTTCACATCCGCAATTAAACCAAAACACTCACGTCTCAAGAATCCAGTTGATAATTCCCACTTCCGATATTGTTATCCATGCCGCAGATGTTCGTACTGCAGGTTTATTAATTTCTTCCTTTTTTTTCTTTTTACTCCAAGTTCTAAAAAAATATTGACCCACATTAGGTTTTTCTTTTGGATTCCGGAAGTTTTAAGCCCATTTCATGAGAAAGTTTTTTTTAAATATAAATGAACAAATAACCCATGTATCATATATCTGCTCTTGGTTTATAAAAAGATAGTGAATGAAATGTATTTATTACATGTCTAAAAATGGCACTTATACAATATGGAATGAAAAACTGAATGAATGGTTGACGCGACATACGTAATTATCATAATAAATTGGCAATGACTATAATAATCACTACCAGGATGCTTTGGACGAAACCACATGGGGTTTGAGATTGTGTGAGGCAAGTCCACATACAATTCACTATCTCTCACACTACCTCATACTCCTTTAGTTGATCGGAACATGGAACATCATGTCTATATTCCACAAGCAACCCCCTTTTTAAACCTTCTTGGTCATATAGTTTTTAAAAAAAATTCCAATATAAAGAATTCCTTTTTGAATTGTGATCATTATCTTCCTCAACCTACACAAGTTTGAAACGAAACCCCACAAACGTCGAGCTCGACTGCACGGTGAAGATGTGGCTCAAGCAGCTAACTCAGACTTTCGCAACGAACTGTCGGCCTTTCACTCCAACCAGGTGTTGCGTGTTCAC